CGAGAGGACGATGCTAGGAGTAACCCTATACACGCAAGTGCAGAGGGGAATCCGGAGTTCCGAACTACGCCAACGATCGAAGATCAGGGACGCTGCCGTTTTCGCCAAGGAATCGAAGATAAGGTGGGCCGGACACGTCATGCGATTTTGCGATGACCGTTGGACCAGAGCGGTTACCGACTGGATCCCTCGGGACGTCAAACGAACACCTGGACGACCGCCGGCCCGATGGTCAGACTTCTTCACGAAAGCTCTGAACGAAAGGAATGAAGGACTTCGTGTCCCTCGAGCGAGGAGGGTCCACTGGACAACTCTTGCACGCGACAGGGACGAATGGAGACGTTGCTGGCGCCCGCTCGAGCAATTCGATGATCAACGGGACGACAGGTGACAGGTCTAGAACTCATCTCGTAGGAATCTATAAGAATGCACTGCATATTTCGGAGAAACCTCATTTCGTATTGCGCCATGTGCTCAAACTTCATCTCGAGAAGTACGCATGTAATGCTATATAAACCACTCGTCGCCTATGTATAGACAGATGGGTCTCAGCACTCGTTCCAGAGTGCGCCAGGCACTGGATTTCGTTTATTTCATTGTGAGATTAATTGAATATTTTCTCCGTTCCTTTAGTCAACTTTATTCCATTTTAAAAGCGATGAATGGTCGGGGTGTAGTCTTGCACTCAACATCACCTTCCCTCGTAGTCGAATTGGAAGTGCTAAATAAGATTCCAGCAGGAGTAGTAGGGGCGTTTCGCGAAGTTCCCCAAGTTTAAAAGAATCTGTCGTCGAAAGCTGTGTGGGTAGCGAAGAAATCCCTTCAACGTCGTATTTTACGATTACTTGGGTGTGGGAATAAGATGGCAGCTTGGTGGCAAATGATCGTTTGTCCCAAAGTGTGGCCTTAAACAACACTCTTTTGGAAAACGAGAGAATATGATGTTGAGCGCAAGGATACACCTTCGATCACACAGCGCTTCAAAATGAAATAATTTGATGGAATCTGGATAAATTGCTCAATTCATTCCTTAATGTATTGGATGATGTTGAGTAGGTGGCGCATTACGGCGCGAGTGTTGAGACCCATATTTTTACAGACGATAAGGTTGAAGAGGTGGGATTATTTACGCGTCACCTATAAACAACTAGTAGTTCTCGAGATGAAATTTGGAAGCGTGGCGCAATCAAAGATGAAACTTTGTCGAAATTTTTAATTTTTTTTGTAAGTTTCTTATAGAGCCCCACGAGCGTTTTTGTATGGTATGTTAGGATTTGAAAAACACAAAGTTAAACTCAGTTTTAAGAAGAAATAAAGACGCAGAATCGCGTTTTGCGAAAATTTACGAAGTTTACGGTGTACCGTAGGGTTAACGAAATATAGAGAAAACCAGTTTGGCTCCGCTCGCTACCGCGCGCATGTCAAGTAGGCTCCAGTAAACTGAGCATAGAACGCTTGTGTTAAAGGAAGCAGTCACGATAATTTTCATGGCAACGATAAGGAAAGCTATGTATTGGAGTGGATAGGAGGTCCTGCCCAATGTTAGAACACGTGAAGTTTCAGTGGCAGTGGCGCCTTATCAACGGAGTGATAAGGCGCCGAAATCCACTTCCGTTCAGCAAAAACCAAGACTTATCGATGTGGAAAGGGGTGCGATAAGAGCGTGCTAGATATGATACCGTTATCGTTATCGTCCCGTTTTCATTCTGGAGTGCACCTCTTATCGCACCTTCTTATCTCATCGTATCATATCTTCCATGGGCTTACACTCGTCCAACAATTACTGCCTCACACCTTATCGATTGATAACGCGAGGGTAGCAAATCCAGCGTGGAAGCCAGCGTGACTCGCTTCCTTTAGCAACACAATGCTTCAATGCATAATAAAACTGGTGGCTAATAATCCAAGGGTTACTGCATCTAGCTAGTGGTATAGCTGTAATTCCTCAGGGGTCTGTACCATAAAACCCATTATTTTCCGAAAATTAACACGGTCCAGCGGCCGATTAGGCTTTGGCAATAAGCCAAAGGTTGAAAATCGTGTCGAGGACGTGGTCAGATCAGTACGACCCCTCTGAAAGTGCCTTGATGTGAATAAGCGAGTTCCATCAATGCACAGCAAAGCGTTCGGTTGCCAAGAACCACGGTTTAGTCAGTGGGTCACGAATTGCCAAGAGCAACTGAGCCGAACCGTCGAAAATCTCACTCGTCGATGCACAAGGTTCGCATTCCCGTCAATCATCTGAAGCAGTATGTGTAGGGTTACATAGAGATGAAACTTCGCCACTACCAGAAGGGCAAAATACTGGATTGATCTAAAATCACATTCGAGAAGATTAGGGTCTCTCCAACTGTCCGAGGACATCGAAGAGAATGGCGAAATTTTCCAATTGAAGAGCGAAGCTTGCCGCTATCTGACAGTATGTTTGCCATCACCTTCTAATATCTCCGGGGCTTGAAGGAAAAAATTTGCGTCGAAGGATTATCGAGGATGATTATCCGGCCAAGCTTCAAAAAAGGTCGCCTCCTTCTTCAACATTGCAATGTCAAATTTTGACAGGTCGCTCGCGACAGTGTCCAGAAATAATCTTCCACACCAACGGAGCGCGACAAGAAACTGGCAATCGGTTCATCGTCGCGAATCCTCGTCCTCATGATAGGCCATCAACACTTCCAGACCATCCCACACTCCATGATAGAATTAATGAAAGGTTTACAACATGAAGAGAGAAAGTGTAACTTGTGTGACAATTTCGTCACAACTACGTAGCCTACAGAGACAGCTTCGTTTCGCATCAGAGATCTTTTCCAGAACTCTGGCGCCCTTTGCCGAACCAGCCCCCTCTCCCCTCAACGACAGCTTCATTTTCAACGAGGTATTCGAAGGGTGGAGACGAGCCCGGACTTAGCACAGAGGATGTGCCATCCACGCAGTGTGTATGGAGTGTTCAATAGTTGGCGATTAGCGCGCGTTAGCGATTCGTCTAATGAAATCATAGGGTATAGGATTCGGCAGAGTACAGCACGAGGCTCAGCTGCGATCAGGCGAGTAGGCGATTAGGCGGTGAAGACTACATACGTATCGACTTGTATGTTCCGCCCTGAGGGCGTTGTAGGCGAGTAGGCGAGTAGGCGAGTAGGCGATTCGGCGATTAGGCGATTTGCACACGGCGCACTCCTTAGTCGTCAAAATTGAGGCGCACATGCATATTAGCTTCTCACCCATACACTAGACTACTAGTTGGTAAAAGCAGATCTTGTCAAAGTGTTGCATACAATCCAGATATCACCTAATCGCCTACTCGCCTAATCGCCTACTCGCCTGATCGCCTACTCGCGTACTCGCCTAATCGATACGTATCCTTTACTCATCGCCTGATCGCCTACTCGCCTAATCGCCTACTCGCCTAATCGCCTAATCGCCTAATCGATCCGCATACACTTTCATTTTGAATCATCGCCTAATCGCTACAATGCGCCACGTACGGTCGCCAACTATGAACGCTCCTGTACGCATTGTGAATATGCACTTTCATTCCTTGTTCTACTTTCAAACACGTCCTTATCATAAAGGTTCAGGAATGGGAGCGAATGGAAGTGCAAAGAACATTTTATCACGTGTTTTCTCAAAAACCTTCGCTTTTGCTGGCTCTGCATCGCCCTTCTGGTTCCCTATCTGACGTTAGGCCCGACGGATACGTTCCCCTCCTTTCGAGACGCAAGGAATCTTCTCATCCGATCCGACTATTCCGACCCTAGCACAAGGACCACTATATTTTCGCTGCTCTCCTATGCAGCTTTAGCGCCAATAATACTATGACCTCGGAATGTTGTAATGTTAGCGCTCACAATTTGTTATACCGGCTGAGCATATAGAGAAACTCCGTGAATGATTATCGTATTTCCGCTAACACCAAGCATTTTAAGGAGCTCGAGCAAATTTGTGGTCAAAAGGGTGCTGACGACGCTCTGTTATTCAACATCTTCAAGGCTTATTCATAAGTATCTTTACCATTTCGAAGCACTATGGCAGTTTCAAAATGGCACCACGGACTAAGCCATATAGGTTGAATAATAGGGCCGCGCCGCCGCGTGGCACCCCCCCCCCCCCACCCCAGTTTCATAAGTGATTTAAATTAATGAGAAAAAACTGACCTTTGAGCGTATGAAATGCGTTGCATCCAGCTATCTTCACAGTCAAGCCGTCAGCAAATGACGGAAGAGGTTTGGCTACAATCGGTCGACCTTCTTTCATAGCCATCTAAAATAAAATGAACGGGTCTGATAGGGAACAAGATCCATCAGTTAACCCATGTAAAGATATGAAAACCCTGATCCAACGTTCGAGGCTATAAATGTAGCACTGCAGAAAGGTATGTATTATAGTATGTTATGTCGCGGAGCAGTCGCGAAGCGGCCAAACGTTCACTTGAATAAAACAGCTTTGCCTCATGATTTTGTATAGTCATGCGCCTTGTCAAGGTACGTTACGCCACTGACTTGTTCATTCAATAGGCAACGAGCAGGGTGAAAATCGTGTCGAGGAAATAACCGCCTCTTTACGACCCCCCTCCAAAACATGGACTCTGATACGACCCCTTTTTGTCCTCTGCACATCCGGTTTCATATCAAAAAATGCTAGTTTCAGATGTGCGAGAGGGACGCAGCGCCGCTGCCACGCAAATGCGGCTTGATCCAAATGCTAGATTCAATTCTGCTCAGATTAGGTTCTCCTTCTTTCCTTTAAAGACATTTAACCTTTGCCACATTGGCCGGAAAGTAGAACATTGAAGGAGGTACTGCCCCTACACAGTTGAACAGTCTCGCGCTCCAGTATAGCGGCGCTAACTACCCGCGATCGCGTCGCGCGCTGTGCCTAGAGCGCGCTAGTTGGAAAAATCGTCAAATGTACCCCCTATTTAAAGGACTATAACTTTCTTCATTGATAACCATTTCAGAAAGTGAAGGCAGCTTTTGAATGCACAAGACTTCTAGTTTCTAAATTGTGCTGAGCGTTTTTCTAAGCACGCCTATTCTCGAGAGTGGGAGACGTCGAGAAATTGTCGAGGAAATTGAAATTTACATGCGAGTTCCCACTCTTTGGAAGACAGTAGCTGTCTTCATTGGCAATGCTTTGAAAATCGGAGGAAAGCGTTGTAAAGTAGAAGATTTACGCTTTCTGATAGGTGCTCCAGTTGTTTCGAACGCTTTCTAGTTCGCGAGAAATCTGCGTCGAGGAAATGTCAAGGAAATTTTCGAAGCCACTCGAAAACTCTATTACTCCCTCGCCGTAGTAGGGAACTTCTTTGAACACCTTCAAAATACTTCTGTACACGTCAGTTCGATGGAGTAAATTGAAAATGATGCACTTGGCGCGGATCCATTCCGTTCTTGTATGCGCCATGCAGTGACCCCACTCGGAGTCATTGGGAAGGTGTTTTGTCTAGTGACGACTTGCTTAAGCACACCAAAAGATATTTCCAGTATTAACTAACCAGTTTAGCTCCGCACGCAACCGCGCGCATCACATGGTAGGCTTTAGTGAAACTGGACAACTTGCAGAATATTAGGTCACGTGGCTGAGAAACTAACAGTAAGATGTTTGGAAGATGTGTCACATGAATTTCAAAGGCTGTCCAATTTTGCTGAAGATTGTAGCGTAATGCGCGCAGTAGCATGCGGAATGAAAATGGTACTTATCATGACTTCGTAAACATTTAGCATTGATATCGAGCTCGGGCGATTTAGCGGTTTATAGAATTTCCACAATTGAAGAATCGGTGTGTAAGTGAAATATAACCAATCAATCAGCATCTAACCGAGCTATGAAATTATAATGGAAATTCGCTATTGGTCCAAGTCCAGATAGTTGAGCAGCTCAACTTTCTTTGCTTCTTTAGATGAAAGGGTAGGAATGGAACATATTCACGTGCTAGGGACCTGGTTTAGTTCAACTGAGTGCACGCTCAACTGTCGCTACTTTTATCAGTACAGTTGCCGCTCATACCACTTTCTGTCACCTACATTCAACCCTCGCCACCTTGATCGCTTGCCAGTGATAATTGCAACGAAGTTGGAGAGACCTGCATTCAAACGCTCTTATCATTCCTTGTCATTTGTTATCAGTTCATACTGTTCGCAATCGGTGTCCCGGTCCCAACCTCCAGGCAACGTGTAGGAGCTAATATTTACTGTCACCACGAAGGCTGCAACGAAATTAGCAGTACTCAAAATCCTAACTTCCTTATCAACCGTTATCGCTTGTTATCACTTCTGATCATCCGCTATCCGTGTTCCCGTCCCATCCCCTATACCACATGTGAGAGCCAAGGTTCCAATGTAACCGCAAGGGCCGCAACGAAACTGGTGGTATCCACACTTTGACGCCCCTTATCAGTTCTTATCAGTTGCTACCACATTCGTTCACTCAACTTCTTGGTCCCCGCCTCACCCCACATATCATACATGAGTGCAAACTCTCCACCTGTCAACGCGAACGGCGTAACGAAATTGGTGACATCAACATTTCGACGTCCGTTATCAGCTCCTATCAGTAGTTATCACTTCCCGCCACCCGTCATCAGTGTTCACCTCCGGCCCCCTATATATCCTAGAAGTTTGAGCGCTCTGGGTCCAAAGGGGGTGAAGTTATGAATTTCCGGTCAGACACACACACAACCGCTTAGCCGATTATATATAGTAGGATTAGGATGACTTTGTAGTCATAGTGATGTCTGATTATTCCTTTATTCAAATCGCTTCCTTTCCAACCCGTTCTGATGAATGACACGCTTGCGGTTGCAGGATCTGATGATGCCAAGAAGGCTGCGAATCTGCCTGTTTTGAACTTTCTAACAAGATGCTGTTCCTCCACTAAGTTCTCGAAGCATGTACATCATTCTAGAGTAGATACTCGCTGCCCTTTCCCTACGATTCTTTTGCAGGACGCGTTGCCTTCCTATGCCATACTGATCACTACGAACCAAACCAACAACCACTTTCCATTTGAATTTTAATTCCAGACAGGTGTAAGATATTATTTGCATTAGGCTAACTACAACACTTGTGAAACTAATGATGACAGCAAATAAGTGGCAGCAGCACCGTTGTGTCCGTTGATGAACCTTTTGATTACGACCCCCTCCCAACTCTCATCGGAGCAAATACGACCCCCTGTCGAGGATTCCTCGACCGTTATTCACCCTGGCAACGAGTGAATGAGTGTACCACATATTTGGTTCTTGACGGTAGTTTCTGGTTTCCTTTTCAAAGCTGTGTTATTAAAGGCAAGATTCGGGATAAAATAGGTGTGGAAAAGCGTTCAGTTATGAAGCTGGGAGGTGGTCTGGAAAAGAGAAGGAAAGCAAACGAAACCACCGATTACGCCCCGTACAGAGACCTCCCCTATTTCAGCCGTCCACCTTGGGATAGAGAAGGGCGCGTTGGACGAGTTTCACGAACCTAACTCTAGTTGCTCCAGTGCCAATGACATTGGGTCGCAATGGGACCGATGCGCCCGCGCTTTTCAAGCAGCGCCACGTGGCAACCGACAGCGGAGGGTGGGGCTTGCGGACGAAGGTGTGAGTTGCGGGTCGGACGAGCTCCTTGCGCCTTTGTCGCGCACTTTCAAGCGGCAAAAGGGGCGCGACATCAACGCTTGTCCGCCTGTCTACTACCCCGGGATGGAACAGGCGAGCGCGCTGATAACGGAGCGTGCCTTTAAATACCCCCACTTTTATGTTTGTCCACTACGAAGTTGTCGTTATCACTGTCGTCAAAACTGGATGTCGAGATCATCGACACTAATTTATAGGTACCAATACTTGGTCAACTATGAGCAGATCACGCGGCTATGCCTGGGCCTCTATTTTCACCCTATGAATAATGCCGTGATCTCCTACAAAACCTCTGTCGCGACAAGGGAATCACAGCTCTGTAAAAGCTCGACAAGAGCGTCAAAGTGTGAATAACCGATCATACGCAAAGTCAAACCCGACATTAGACCGTTGGAGTGACCGCTTAGGTAGGTAGGATGTAGCTGTTTGCGTAGGTTGAACTGGGAACCTTCTTAAACCTCACCATGAATGTTGGACACGTTTCTGACTCCAATCCAATCACTTTAACATTCGGCGCAGCATGCTTGACGGCTACTGTTATGCCTGCTAAAAGTCCTCCACTACCAACAGGCACGAGGATCGCGTCTAAGTCCTTCACCTAAAAATCCTCATCAAAATTTGGTATCGGATAAGATTTTAATAGAGAAAACTGCGGTCACTGATAATTTTCAGAGGAATCAATCTTACGAACAACGCTCGTTTGGAATAACCAGTTTTGCTTCGTTTGCTATCGCGCGCTTGTCAACATAGGCTTAATCGAAACTGTGTATAGCCCGGCTCTTGTATTAAAGGAAGCGATTACGATAAGGAATTTTCGCATCGGGGGAGAACCTGCGCCACACGGAGCAATTACTTGGCTGCCAAGGAAGCGATGTGTGGTCCTCCCACGGCGAAAGGTGCTGTGGTTGCTGAGCAGGACCCGCGTGACGCCCCGCCCCCAGTGACGTGACGCCCACTAGTTTTGTTGATGATCTGGATGGACTGTTTGCTGTTGGCTTTTCATTTTGGATGATCATTTCCCTTCTAGCGGCTGTATCTTCCAACTTGCCCACGTATTGCCTTATCAATCAGAAACACTATGCTTGTTGGCATGATGGCGGCTATCGGGGTTAACACGTCCGAACAACGTCATTCTTTACCGTCGCTCATCCATGGTCGAAAATGAAAGGGCAATCAAAGGGGCTATTTTTGACGGATTTCTTTGCTTTTTTCGCCATTGGCGTACTATTGAGACCCCCACGTCCCCTCTAAACCCCTTTGAGATCTATCGTAATCGCTTCCTTTCAAGCAACACGCATGCATTTAACGCATTTGCTGATGTTATTGACGTGTTATACAGTGCTGATGATAAAGCTGTACCTACTGTATATAATCCGCTAAGCGGTCGTGCGTGTGTGTCTGTGTGTGCGTTTTCTGTCTGACCATGGACGTGAACACTGATGAAGGGTAGCGGGAAGAGATAATACTATAGAAAGCGTAATAACTTCGTATAGCATACATTATACGAAGTTATTAGCGATTGCTAATTATTATACCAGATTAGTCCCCCGTCAACCGCCGGGACCTTCCTTTCCTGCGCAAGCTTTCTATCCTCCGCTATGGTCCCTTCCTCCTGTGACACCAACACCTCCTGGAAGTGACGCGTATGCAACACAATGGTGTTTCATACAGTAGAAGGGACACAATCATGATATGACGGTAGATTTTTCGCTTCCCTTCCTCATCCTCCCTTCCTCTCTCCACTGCCCTCCAGCTGCCACTGCAGCACCATGTGGAATGAACGGAAGTGTGCTAAGCAGGTGTTTATATAGCCCTAAGAGTGTTATCACAACTATCCTGCTACAAAACATTGATATCTCAAATCCTGTAAGCTACCCGATTTGTTAGCGGTTTGTTTATCCCATGAGCTTCCTTCTCACTCACTTCATTTTGCGGACGGACACACATACACACACACACACACACACACACACACACATACAGATACACAAACCGACACACAAAGTTAGCGCTTTATATAATAGAAGGAGGATTATTGTGTAGGGTAGGACTGGGACCCAAATGGTGAGCGAAGGAAAGTGATAGCAAATGATAAGGGCTGATAAGGGGCATCGGAATGCTAACGTCGTCAGTTTCGCAACGCCCTTTGCGTTGATCCTAAGATGTTCGCACTCATGAATATTATGTGGGGTGAGGCAGGGACCAAAAGGGTGATTGGAAAGAAGGTGGTAGCAACTGATAAGAACTGATAGGGGGCTCGAAGTAAAAGGCAGTAACAGAACTTGTGGTGAATACCACAAATTCCGTTACTGCCTTCGCAGTAACAGTAGAACCTTGGCTCTTACATGTGGTATGAGGGATAGGACGGGAACACGGATAGTGGTTGATCAAAAGTGATAACAACGATAACAGTTGATAAGGAAGTTAGGATTTTGAGTACCACTAATTTCGTTGTAGCCTTCGTGGTGACAGTAAAACATTAGCTCCTACACGTTGCATGGAGGTGGGACGGGACACCGATTGCGAACAGTATGAACTGATAACAAATGATAAGGAACGATAAGGAGCGTCTGAATGCAAATGTTCCAACTTTGTTGCAGTCATCATTGAAATCGATTCTTAGATTGAACTAGACTGTAAATATTTTCAATTCCTAAGCTTTCACCCAAAAAAGCAAAGGAACTTGAGCCACTCAACTCTCTGGACTTTAGCGAATTTCCATCAGAGCTAGGCTAGATGCTGATTGATTGATCATATTTCACTCCCACACCGATACCCTAATTGTGAAAATTCTATAGACCGCTAAATCATCCGAGCTCGATATCAATGCTAAATGTTTACGAAGTCATGATAAGTACCAGCTTCATTCCGCATGCACTGCGCGTACACAAGAATCTAACTTCAGCATCCTGCAGATGAGCTACCGTAACCCTGACGTGACATGCGTGCCCGCCGCAACCGCATACTTCGCACTCAGCTCGACGTCGCCCCTCAGGATTTCGTAATGCCAGTTAACCTAATCTTACTCTCTCTCTCTCGTTAAGGAACATGTACTTTCTGTTTCTTTTCGCGCATGTTTTCGCTTGTTTCCCTGACGCGCTTTCGTTGACGTGTGTTTGCATTGTTTATTTTGGCGCGCGTTTAGGTTGCTCTCTTTTGACACGCATTTACGTTGTTTTCCTTTGACACCGCTTCTACAGTCCTCATAATTCGCTTTGTAATCCGCCAAATGGGCACCCTCCCGTTTCCTGCACTATAT